GAATGAGGTTTACAGAGAGGGAAAGATGAACTTTAGAAGTAGTTTCAGCTTTAGTAATATTAATTTATTCAGTATGTTAGCATTTATACAATTCACTCAGTAACATTTATTCTGTAATCCTGGATGGTGCTCTAGTGTGGCGTCATTATCCACTTTTCACTGTACCTAGGTACAAGTGACAATATGTTAAATGAAGGTATTTCATTGAACAGATAACATTCTGAAGGGACTTGACAGGTTAGATACTAAGAAGGTGGACCAGTTTTCACAGAATCAGGAAAACTTTGCGAATCTTTCAAAATAGCAGGCAGGACCCACATCTGGATGTTCTACCACAAATTCTGACTATTCAATCTTTATCTTCGGAAGAAAGTGTGCAGTGTGATTCCCGCAGGAGGGAAATCTAACTCAACAACACCATTGGAACTCCGTGCTGTGTTCAAACAGATACAGGGACGGGAGGGGCTGTATGGCCTACTCCTGCTCCTGTTTCTTATATATAGTGCCTCAGCCATTTCTTGATATCATGTGGAGTGCCTATAACTTAATTTAAGTTAATCAAGGCAGCCTTGGTTTATTTATTATTATTGTCACATGAACCTGGGTAGAGTGAAAAGTTATCATAAAATCAAAGAATCCCTACAGTATGGAAACAGGCCCTTCGGCCCAACATGTCCACACTGACCCAGACCCATCCACCTAATCTACACATCCCTGAATACTATGGGCAATTTAGCATGGCCAATCCACCTCGCCTGCACATCTTTGGACTGTGGGAGGAAACTGGAGTACCTGGAGGAAACCCACACAGACACAGGGAGAATGTGCAAACTCCGCACAGACAGTCACCTGAGGGTGGAATCGAACCCCGGTCCCTGGTGCTGTGAGGTAGCAGTGGTAACCACTGAGCCACTGTGCCGCCCCATGTTTTGCATGCAGTGCAGGCAGATGTATACTTTGTATATGCATACAAAGTGCATATGAGTAATAAAACAGAGCGAGGAATACAATGTTTTGGCTGCAGAGAAGGTGCACAAAGAGTAACTTAATACAATTTGATATTGAGCTGCATAAGGAAATAATAGGACACCGGTTAAAGAGTTGGATCTTAGGACCTTCTTAAATTAGAAAGAGGAAGTGGTTTCGGTAGAGGGGGGATCTCCAGTGTTTTGGGCTGTGTTGAAGGTAGAGTTACCAATGTTGAGTCAAAGGAAATTGGAAAAGTCATGGAGGTTGCCTTGCTGAAGAAAGTGACAGAGACAGGGAGGGCTGAGGTTAGAGTGTTGTTTGAGAACATGCTTTTCTGGCTGTACTATCACTTTGTAATCACTGCAAACGATAACAGGGCAATGTCTTAAAATCAGCAGAAGGTTTCTTCAAACTTTGTCTATTTCGAGATAACATAAGGAAAATGATTATTTTCATAGCCCATTGTTGTGATCTGGAGTGCAGTACTAGAAAGTGTGATGAATGCAGATTTAATTGTAATTTTCAAAAGAGAGGAATTGGCAATGTACTGAAAAAGGAAAAGTTGGCAAGTATCTGTAGAAAGAGCAGGGTATTTAGACCAATGGCTACCTCTTTCAAAAAGTCTCCACAAGCACTAAACACCATCTTTCTGTGTGGAATAATCGGGGGCCTTCAAAAAACTGGAAGAAGAACCATTGGAAAATATTAAAAACTAACTCCGTTGCCACAACAAGTAGTAAGAACTAATATAATTGTGCTCTGAAAAGAAACTTCTATAGGGTATGAAAATCGACACAGATTATGTCTGTTAAGTCAGTGGTTAGGTTGAAAACTGATGATGATGTGTTTATCAATGAAAATAAGAAAATGACAGACACGTTAAGAGTTACTTTGCTTCAGAAGAGATTAACATGCCTGACATCCTAAAGAAACTATCTTTGAATTAGGAATTGGAATTCACCAAAATGAATCCAAGCAAAATAACTGCAAATTTTAACAAAAGGCATGAAAGCATAACAAATCCCTAGGACTAGATACAGAAATTGCTGGAGAAACTCAACAAATCTGTCAGCATCTGTGGAGAGAAAGCAGAGTTAATGTTTCGAGTCCAGTGACCCTTCTTCGGAGCTGGCTTGTTTATCCCTGGACCAGATAGTTTCTCTTCCAAGGCTTTTATTGAAATTTGAAAAAAACCAAACTACAATCTTTCAAAGTTGTCTGAATTCAGGAATTCCACTCCCCACCCTCTTTTGATCCATGAAATGGTGCATGTAACTCTGATATTTAAAAGAGGTGAGATTTGCGTTAAGAGGTCACTGTTCGAAATTTCAAGATGTTCTGGGGAACAGTTTGGGCTGATACAGGGAAATCATTTCCACTTATACTATAGTTTGGGAGTTTGGGGGAGGATGGTGTTAGAATTAGAGCCGGAGTTCTCAGATGTGAAACTGGGAAAGACTTGTAAACAGCAGAAGTTTGGACCTTTCTCAAAAATACATCAACTGTTAATTTTAAATCTAATATTTGTGTTATCCCATGCTATGAAGGACATGAGACAAAGACTAGGAAGACAATCCTGTCTTCCTAAGGAGTTAGGACACAGATCATACATGAACAATAATGAAACAATTCTGAGGGGCTAAATAGTCTCTTCTGGTGCTTCTAGACAGGTGAATGAACCAGCTAGTAAGCAATTTGAAGCTCATAGGGGTTGTGCCAGCTGGCTTTAACTTTTATTCACATGGGGGTGACTGTTGATCTATTACCGAGACAGTTTGGGAATTGACAGCTAAAACAATGATAAACGGAGCCCAAAGATGCTTTTTTTTTGTGAGAAATACCTTAAAGTTCCTTTGTTATTGGTCAGTAAACCTAGCTAGCATGATCATGAGAGCACCTTTATCATAAAACAATGCCAGTTCAAGCAGAAAGATCACCATCACCGAGGGACAAAGTTTTAAATTTGCCCACATCAGAGGACAAGTTTTTCCAAACGAAGTTGTTGACTGATTGCACTTTACAACCAATAAGTCAGTGTAATTTTGTACCCAGATATTGTTCTGCACAAATTTAACTGCCAATGTCACACAAATAAGTGAGGTGAATGATCTGCTTTAGCTGGTTCAGGGATAGCTAGAACCCTGGGACAATTCACTGCTTAAAAAGTTCAGTAGGATCTTTATGTTAAGTGAACAGGCAGATTTAGTCTAGGTTTAACATCTTTTCCACAAGACAGCATCTCTGCCACTGCAGCACTTCCTCAGTCCTGCACTGTTTGGAGAACTTTATTATGATCATTTCTGAAGAAGGGTCCAGACCCAAAACGTCAGCTTTCCTGCTCCTCTGATGCTGCTTGGCCTGCTGTGTTCATCCAACTCTACACCTTGTTATCTTAGATTATGATGTTAAGTTTTAGTCTGGGCCATACAGCCATGATCTGAGGGAACTGTACAACCTACTGAGACATTGACTAATAGTAGCAGAGTCTCATTTGATGGAATGCAGATTGTAGAATTGGGTGTTTGAGCAGAAAAGCTGACTACACTGATCTTTACATTCCATTTAATAATTCACGATTTCTTCAAACAAGACCTTCTATCCCTTGTAGTGGAAATTTCACGCTTTCCAAAATTCACCCTGCAATTTTCTGTGAAGTTGAAAACAACTTTGGCCATATGATATTTAATTCAGGCTTTCCACAAGGCCAGGTTAGAAGTATTATCATTCCCCAGAGTTAGACATTAAAACAGTTTGATCGCTGAAACATGACTTACAGGTTGAACAGTTTTAGAATTCTACAAACAGCTGGGAGCCACAGCACAAGTATTTTTATTTTTGTTTTCATAATTAATTTACTTAGTACAGAATGCATCAAAAGTACATCACATTTTTTAAAGATGAAGCCAGATTGATGTCCTCTCAACATATTTATGATCAATCAGCCCCTGTCAGTCAGTAAACAAATTGTTCCTGAGGAAGTATTTGTCAAACCTCTTTATGGTCAGGCGAGAGAGAAAAGAGCCAGAAGAATTTTGACCCAGTAATGCACTTCAGTTTGATTTATGTTATCATGTTCATAAGCAGCTATCTTAGCCTTCGGCTCTGTGTGATTTCTCAATGGAATCATTTGCAATACTTGGCTTATTCGCCTGTCATGGGATTACTTAAGAAATGGGAGAAACAAAATTGATATTACAGGCAGTGGGCCATCCACCCACAGCTAGGAGTGTCCATCTTTCAATCGGTGGATGGGGCTGTGCTGACACATTCCAGCCTGACTGCAGTACTAACAGAGGTCTGATCAGGGCACAAGTGGCTAAAGCTACCAGGTATAAATTCAAGGCTATAAGAGGCTCAAAAGACCCCAGTTTCATTTGGCACACTCTCTACCACGCAGTGCCTGTCAGAACCAGGCAATAGCTCATGTTTCTTGACTGTGCCATTAGTCCACAAACAAGGCTCTGCCAAGACCATCGATGGGCCTCCGAGCTGACTCTCTTCAATCTACTGTTCACTGATGTAGTGACACCATTCAGCCCAAGATTTTGAATGAAGTCCTGTCTAGAATTTGGGCACTGTGGTCAGCACTACCTGCATGCTTTCTATCCCATTGAAATAGCTGAATGGTGCTGCCAGGTCCTGTGCAAGCGAAGGGCAAGTCAAAGAGCAGCTTCACCATCAAATCTGCCCCTTAATCCCATAGTGGAGTTTCATCATAGACATTTGCTCCATGCCTCCCTTATCCCTCACAGTCTCCTGGGAGAAACGATAAAACTTTGGGCCATTGAAGGCAAAATAGCAACTTTAAGCCTCACATCAGCATATCATGTCATTGACACTTTTTTGTAATTCCAATGAGATGCTGATAGAAAGCACCTAGGAGCATTATACTGTGTTGAAGATGGTATAGAAAATCATGGTGTGGTTTGTGGCTGCTGTCTTTATAAATGAAGTCAACTACTGTAAAAGTAACTTGAAACTGTAGAGTCTGTCATTACAGCCTGACACCATTTATTACATTCCCTCGCCAGTGCTCAGTGCTAAACGAGAAGCTGGATTCGCTGCTGCAGGCTCTGAATGATGAATCGCAGGCCATGACCAGCCACCACTGCGCGACACCACCCATTGCAGAGGAGGAAGGAGAGGAAGAGGAATTTAGTGAGGAGTCCTCATCTGAGAGCAAAGAGCAGGCACTGGAAATGATTTCAGCTAGGTCTTCCACGCAAAAGTTCTTCAAACCAAGGGAACAGCTTATGCTTCGGGCAAACAGTCTGAAGAAAGCAGTGAGGCAAATCATCGAACAAGCAGAGAAAGGTACAGCCCGCTGAAGCCCCTGCATGTTTTCCAGTTACTTGTTTACTGTCCATTTATCCAAACAGCAACATTTTTTTTGCAAGTTACATAAATAAGAGTTTTCCTTCTGTTTGGAAATAATTCCCTTTGAACTAATCAACATCAAGTTGCAGTAAATGTTCATGTATCTTCATGTAAGGATACTATTTCACCAGCCAAAGCAACTTGCTTTCTTTTAACTTTTTAGTTTTGTCTTTTCTGAAATGAACATAAATAGCGAGCACAGTATTGCAGAAAACTGAGAGGAGAATAGCAAGTGAACATGATTAAAAATTTTAAAAAAGAAAGCAAAGAGGGGCATGAGAAAATATTGGTAAGTGAAGTCAAAGAAACCCGAAAACTGTTTTATAAATAACATGCAGAAAGCTAAGGAATGTGTAGGGTTGACTAGAAACAATAAGAGTAATTTTTGTATGGTGGTAGAAGATTTAGGAATGGTTCTTACTGAATATTTGGTGTCCTGTCTTCATAGAAGAGGGAGCCATGCAGACGTTGCAGTTAGGAAGATAGGAAATAGGAGCAGGTGTCGTCCATTCGGCCCATCAATTCTGCTTCTTTGTTCAGTTAAATCATGACTAATGTTCTAATCTCAATGCCAATTTTGCATGCTATCCCTGAATGCCTTGATGTCTTTAATATCTAGAAATCCATTGATCTCTGACTTGAAAAACTGAGGAGAAGGAGAGTGAAATATTAGGTAGGATAAAAGTTGCGGGAGACAAAGTATTAAGAGGTTTAGCATCTTTGGAAATGAGTACAAGGCCATATTTGGATGAAATGTATTCCAGGCTGTGAAGAAACCTTTAGTTCATTGAGGCTGTTCATTCTTAAGATCATGACTTATCTATTGCCTAATTTCATATACTCACCTTCGGTCTTATCGCATAATATTTGTGGACAGCAAAAGATCGGTCAGTTTTGAATTTAAACATTACAACTGGTCCAGGATAAATTTATTTCTGAAAGAGAGTTCCTTCTGTGCAGGGAAGCGTTTCCTTATTTCAACTTCTGAAATGTCTGGCTTGCATTTTGAATATTGAGAGAAGCCAGACCAGAAATTGCTAGCACCCGGGTCCCCATTTTCCATCCTCTCTGGCCACACATGCGGTGCGAGAGGAGTGCTAACATCGAGCCATTGCTTGGAAAGGGATGAAGGGATCAGCCAACTTACAACACACATAACGTCAAATATAAGCGAATGACTGGAAACATTTCTGAGGGCAGTATTAATCGTTAGAAAGCCATGGATTCATCAAGGACAGTCACTGTGGAAGTGTTAAAGGAACATTGTGCCTATTCATTTTTTTTTGAGTAGTTAACAAGGGCATTGATGAAGGTAATGTGTTTGATGTTGTCCACATGAAATTTAACATGTCTTGTGAGAAATTGCAAATAGCAAAAGTGGTTCCAAAAGTAGAAACTCCTGACTTATGTGGGAATGTGGAAAGTTGTCTCAGTGGCAGGGCATAAAAGGTAGTAGTCACAGGTGTTTACGACTGGAAGACTGTCCCCAGTGGGATTCCACAGAGTTCAATACTGGCTCCCTTCCTGTTTGTGGTATATATGAATGAGTTGGCCTTATACGTAGGAGATGTGATTAACGACTTTGTAGATGGTGCAAGGTTTAGCCAAATGGTTAATAGTGAGGAAGAAAACTATTGATTACCGGATATTATCATTGGTATGGTCATGTGGATAGAAAAGTTGCATTTGTAGTTTATTTGGGAAAAATATACAAGGAAAGGAAGTGCACAATAATGGCAAATTACTGAGACGTATAGAGGAGCAGAGGGACTTTCAAGTATACATCCATAGATTCCTGATGGTAGCATGATAAGTCAGTATGTTGGTACAGTAAACATCAAGATACTTTTTTTTATTAGTTAAAGATTAGAATATAAGGGCAGGGAGGTTATGTTGTAATTGGAACACTAGTTTTGACCACAGCAATAGTGTTATAAACTGTTCTAGTCACTGTGTTACAGGAAATATACATTTGCACTAGAGATGGTATAGAGCAGATTACAGGGTAGTTGCCAGAAATGCAGGATTTTAGCTATGAAGAAATGTTTTTGAAACAGAGAGAGGGGAGAGTTATTGAGGTATATAAAAAGTTGAGGGGATCTAGAGTAGACTGTAAGGGTCTAATCCCCATGGCAGAGAGGCAGAGAACCAGTAGATTGATCAATTGGGGAAACGATTTAAAGGGAGTCTAAAATTTCTTTCAAGAGAGTGGTGACGTTCAATTTGGAGAGAATTCTTTTTACATGCAGTACATGACACTTTCTCCTCGGTGAGTCTATATAAGCCAACACAAAAACAAACACAAATAAGTTTCTCTCTCACTATCTGAAAGAGACACAGAGGCAGAAACTCACATCCCATTTAAAACATGCTTACGTAATACATACAACACAGAAACAGGCCACTCAGCCCAGTCAGTCCATATCAGTGTTTAGCCTTCTGCTGTCTTTCCTTATTAAATCTGCCGTCAAAGCCCTATTTTCAATTTTCCCTCATGCTTGTTTATCTTTTCTTTAAATACAAATATATCATCCAACCACTTGCTATAATAGTAAGTTCTACAGTAACCTCACTCCTTGGGAAAGAAATTTCTTCTGAATTCTCTATGGAATTTCTTGGTGCATATTTTATATTGATGGCTTCCAGTTATGCTCTTCCTCACAAGAAGAAAAATTCTTTCTGTATCCACTCAATCAAAATCTTCTATAATTTCAAAACCTGATAGGTCCCCCATGAGTCATCTGTTTTCCAAAAGAAAGAGACCCAGCTTCTCTGATATGTAGATCACCCATTTCTGACATCAAACCTGTAAATCTTCTCCGCGCTCCCTCCAGAGCCTCTGTCTCCCCTATGTAATAGGGCCACGTGAACCACTCACGGTTCTATATAAATGAGGTTCAGTACACTTCAGTTTATCCCTCTCGAATGCCTGGTGATTGATTTGTTGTTTTATGGCCTTGTTAAATGGTGACGCAACCTTTGGTGATTGCTATCAAGATCCCTCAGTTCATGAACCCACTGAAACGCTCACCTTCAAATAATGTGAACTTCCTACCTCTGTACCACCACACACTTAGCTGAGTTGAACTTCATTTGCCAGTTATTTGCCCAGAAGATGAGCCAAATGACCAAGGAGGTAGGGAGGCAGCAAGTCAGAGGGGAGGATTGGGGGAGGAATGGGGCAAGGGTGGAGAGTTGGAAGCAGGAGGGGTGAACAGGAGGGTTGGGGAGAGAGGGGCCAAGGAGTAGGCTAAGGAGTGAGAAAAGGGGAATGGGCTGGTCATGGAGGTTAGGGAGGAAGGGGCAAGGGAGACAGCCAGGGAGGGAGTGTCGAGCAGGAGGGTTCAATGTTGGAGGAGGAGAGTGGGAGTTAAGTACAAAGAGTTAGGAGGAGGTTTTAGGGCCCACTAGGTTCAAAGCAATCATGGGGTTATTCATATAAAAATGACAGATGAGGAATGTTTATGATTGTACGTTGCCATTCAGCACATTTTTTTTTTCAGCAATACATTGAAGTGCTAAATTCATGTTGCTGTGATCTAAACTTAGCTGGCTCACCAGTTCTGACCTGTGACTGTCATCCAGCCTGCTAATGCTGTTAGAAATGGCTGTACAACAGCGCAGAGTATCCATTTCTATTTCAGAGGAGACTGGCTCAGTCAATCTAAGCAACATCATGTATATTCCCAAATAAAACAAATATCTTGCTAAAGCACATGAGAAGCTATATTCACAGTGGCATCATTTCTGCAGCATCGTCCTTGAACTCTCCATTCCCCAAAATACAGATTTAATGTTAGAAAACTTCCTGCATCTCTTTGGAGGGTTTGCAGTATAGCTTTTATACAGTTTACAGTTTTTCCCATGCTCTTTGACTCCATGCTACTAGTTTGGCATTTTTATACTTCTGTTTCAAGAGAAAATTCAAACCAATCACTGGGATTCACTTCCAGGCAGATAAAGTTGAAAGGCAGAGACGTTCTATATTCAACTTGTTTCGAGCCTTCATGAAACAGCACTGTTTAGATCTGTGTATTACATCAAGCTTATAGAAGCACTCGAGAAAATGCAGTAAAGAATTACAAGGATAATACCAGACTGGAAGGTTATAATAATAAGGAAGATTAGACTGACTGTGACTTTTTTCCCCTCTATGATAGATGCTCCAAAAGTGATCTTTCAGATTATAAACAGGGTTAACAGGGCTGACATTGGGAAGATAGTCCCACTTAAGGCAGGTTGAAATCTAGAGGTCATCAACAGGAAATCAATTCAGTAAGGAAATCTGAAGGAAACTCTTTAGCCAGAGACTGCTCTGACTGTGGAATGGCATGGATGAATTGAAAGAGAATTTATATATGTACGCGTACAAAGGAATGAGGAATGGGATGATACTTTGATCAAATTAGATCTGGTGGGAGAAGGTTCATAGGGAACACAAGGGTGATGGAACCGAATGAGCAGTTGCTGACTGCTGATGACACAGAGACAGGTGGGAAGATAAGTTGTAAAGAGGGAAGTTGTACAAGTTTGCAAAGGGATGTGTTCACAGTTTAAACAAGTGAGCAAAAATTTGGCAGTCGGAGCATAATGTGAGAATATGCGAACTTGTCCACTTCAGCAGGAAGAATAGAAAAGTAGCATATCATTTAAGTGGAGCAGATTGCGGAACTCTGTGGTTCAGAGAGTCTGGGTCTGCTGGTTCATGATTTGCAGAGAGTTAGTATTCAGGTAGAGTGATTGGGAATGCAAGTGGAATGTTGGCCTTTATTACAAGGAGGGTGGTATAAAAGTTGGAAAATGTTGCCACAGTTGCACAGGGCCTCTAGACCCATACGTAGATTGCTTTGTGCAGTTTGGTCTCCTTACTTAAGAAAAAATATAATGATATCAGAAGGAGCTCAGAGAAAGTCCAATCGAATGATTGCGGATGAAAGTGTCATCTTACGAGAAAAGGTTAAACAGGTTGGGTCTATACCCATTGAAGTTTAAAAGAACGAGAGGTGAGCTTATTGAAACAGTTAAGACCTTGACGGGTACTGAATGGATGCTGAAAGGATGTTTCCTTTTGTGGCAGAGTCTAGACCTCAGGACTCCCAGTTAAAACAGAGATAAGAAGAACTCATTTTTGTCAGAGGGTCATTAGTCTGTAGGATTCTTTTTCCTAAAGAGCAGGGAGCTGTGCCATACAATATATTCAAGGCTCAGTTAGACAGAATTTTGATTGACCAGGAAGTCAAGGGTTCTTGTGGAGGGTGAAACGCAATGACAGGAAAGTGGATTGGAGCTCACAGTCATATCATCCAAGACTTTAGGGTGGCACGGTGGCTCAGTGGTTAGAACTGTTGCCTCACAGTGCCAGAGACCCAGATTTGTTTCCACCCTCAGGCAACTGTCTGTGTGGAGTTTGCACATTCTCCCTGTGCCTGCGTGGGTTTCCTCCGGGTACTCCAGTTTCCTCCCATGGTCCGAAGGTGTGCAGGCTAGGTGGATTGGCCATGCTAAATTTCCCATAGTGTTCAGGGATGTATAGATTAGGTGGGTTATAGGAGGATGGGTCTGGGCGGGATGCTCCGAGGATCAGTGTGGACTGGTTGGGCTGAAGAACCTGTTTCCTCACTGTAGGGATTCTATGAAATCTATGAACTTTATTGAATGACAGACCAGGCTCAAGGGGCTGAATGGACCTACCGCAGCTGCTAATCTTGTGTGTTCTTCCATAAGCAGTGGCATCGATCAGCTGGGCCAATCTACTTGTTTAGTGCCATAAATTCTTTGTGAAGATTGTTTATCCCCACTTCTTTTTCCACAACAATTTGCTGCCAGCTGCTATTTCACTTGCTGCAAGCAAATTGCTTATTTAGGAATCCCTCTGGACTGGCCCTTAGCAGTTCCAGGTCTGGATTAGGGAAAGGAGTTCCTGTGAAGGGAAGAAAATAAAGACTGCCATTACATCGGAAATGTTTTGTCATCCGTTTGTCACCACCCAGGAACTGTCAAGCCAGAAGACATGTTAGATATTGAGTTAATGGAGACCTTTCTATAATACTGTGCTGTGTGCAAGATTGGACCAAATTGGTTGAACCTACTATTGCCCAGGCACTTGGAAATTTTGCTGACCTGTGACTTCCTATATTCCTTGTGCTTCTGCCAATGGTTCATAGAGAAAAGGCTGGAATTATTTCATTGAATGAAGAATGCCTTTATCATTAGCTTTATGCAGTTATTTAATGTAGATTGAACAATGGCACCGGTGTTGCCGGTGATAACAAAGTGTGGAGCTGGAGGAACACAGCAGGCCAGGCAGCATCAGAGGAGCTGGAAAGTTGACGTTTAATGGAGAAATCCGAGTTGATGGGTGTTGTAAATATGGAAAGTGTGGAAAGACTTAGCTGAATGTCATTTTGTAGTAACTGTACATCTCAGGCACAGTTTGCTGTTTTGAAACACAGCTCCTGCACTGGACGTGTGAGGGATATCAGCTCTCAGCACCTTTCGCACATCCTGACTCCATCTCCACGCATTTCTCCTCTTGTTCTTCTGAAATCATGAATTGGGGGCTATTATTGGAATTCAGAGCCACTGAAGCATTTTTTTTCTATTCATTTGTCGGATGTGGGTGTCGCTGCCTGGCCAGCATTTCTTGCCCATCCATAGTTGCCTTCTTGCACCACTGCAGCTGAGTGATGAGAAGAGGATGCACAAAAAATAAAATATAAATGTTTGCAGCTTTAGACAGAGCTCTTCAGAAACATCCATCAGAGCTCAAGCCCTGAGTAACTGATGGTGCCCTTTGGAAGTGTACAGGAATTGGTGATAACCAGGTGAATACACTGGGAAACTGCACAAAGGACAGCAACGTGTACCAAAGAGAACTGCTGATAGAAAACTGCATAGACCCCAAAACAGACAGACACTTTTATCAATCCCAATCTCATCTTATTTTTTGTGCAGAGCCAAGTTTGAGAGGCCTGAGCTTTTGGGTTCATTGAGGAAGATGAGCTGACATGGGCCAAATGGTTTCCTCATTTGGATTTATCTTGTGGTACAATGTTGCGACACTTCATTGTATTGTTTCCCCTTTTACTAAGTGTCTCCCCACACAATATCAAGACTAGAAAATCACCCTGAGAGCACATTGTAACAAAACCATTGACATTTTATTCCCAGTGAGAACCTTTGTGAGTTTTCCCTATCCCAGAGCTCTGATATTACAAATAATTACCAGTTGTGCAGATATAACTCGAAGACTCAAACTCTAATTTTTTAATCACCTGGAAGTGTAGCCATTCTAAACTTTAAAAGAGTCTGTGCTGTTTTTCCCAGAAAAGTGAAGGCTGAGGGGTCGATTAGATAGAGGATTTTAAAATTATAAAGGAATTTAATACAGTAAACTGTTTTCATTTATTGAAAAAGTTTGAAGCTAGAGTCATAAATGTAAGGCAATTATTAATAAATTAAATGGGAAGTTCAGAAGAAACTTTACCTGAGAATGGTTGGAATGAGATAATTGATACCACATTTGGTGAGACAAATAGCTAAGTGTATAAGGTGAACCGGGATAAATGCATGAAACAGAAAGGCATAGAAAGATATGTTAAAAGAATGAATTTAAGCAATATGGCTTGTGTGGAGTATACACACCAACATCGACCTGTTGGGCTGAATGGCCTGATGATATATTTTCGGTACTCTGAGAATAAAAGTCATAACTGGGCCTGTGACCCATTGCTCCACTCTGATCTGATCAGCATATTAGCAGCTTTCTGTCAGTATTCACTTCCTGTACTCACTGTCAGCACTAGCTGCCTGTACTTGCTGTTCTCCTCTTTGTGTTTATTGATGGTTCTTCTTTGTAGTTGTGGATGAACAGAATGCACACACTCAAGAACAGGTTGAAGTGGAGCTGAAAAAGGAAATTGAGGAGCACTTGAAGGAAGAGGAGGAAGAGGAGGAGAAGGAGGAGGACGAGACCAAAGAACCTGACATGCAAACAGGTATGATTTATTTATCTCTGTACAGGTTCCTTCTAGAATAGGAAGCTCAACCACCTTGAGTTTATTGTTACAGGTGCTACAGAGCTATTCTGCCTGTCAGACTGATTTCAGGTAAAATCTCATCGGTTTCAAAGCACTGATCGCATGTCCCACTATTTACGTGGCAGTCTTGCCAGTCCAACGTCAATTTGCAGTGTGCAATGTGGGCAGACATATGATTAAAAAAAAACAAAGCCGGAGCCGTACTGAATGCAAGAGATTGATCCTGATGCTTCCCACCCTCTTTGAAACAGATAACTGTTCAGAGAAGCAACCTTTCTCAGCCATGAGCCCTGACAGATGTAACCCTCTTACAGTATCTGAGCCAAGTATCTGCAGTATCTGAACCATCACCCCACTGTATCTGACCACCTTCCTACAGTATCTAACTGCCCCCCCACCGTGGTATCGAACCATTTCCCTTCAGCATCTAACCATTTCTCTTCAGCATCTATTTCCCTGCAGTACCTGAGCTGTCCCCCGGCAGTACCTGAGCTGCCGTCTCCCCATGTGTGTGTGGGTTTCCTCAGGGTGCTCCAGTTTCCTCCCACAGTCCAAAGATGTGCAGGTTAGGTGAATTGGCCATGCTGAATTGCCCTGTTGTGCCAATAAACATGCAGGTTAGGTGGATTAGCCAGGGTACGTGCGGAGTTACCGGTATAGGGTATAAACTGGGGCTGGGTGGGATACTTTTGGAGGGTCGGTCCAGATTGATGTCCAGGAACTCCCCACCTACGCTCGGTACACTACCCATGCCCTCCACTTCTTCCAAGATTTTCATTTCCCCGGGCCCCAACACCTCACATTCACCGTGGACATCCAATCCCTGCACACTTGTATCCCCCACACAGATGGACTAAAACCCCTCCAATTCTTCTTCTCCTGCAGGCCCAACCAGTCCCCCTCCACTGACGTCCTTATCCGCTTAACAGAATTCATCCTTACCCTCAACAATTTTTCCTTTAACTCCTCCCACTTCCTACAGACTAATGGGGTGCTATGGGCACCCTTATAAGTCCAAGCTATGCCTGCCTCTTCATAGGATGAGTAGAATAATCCCTCTTCCACTGTTACACTGGCACCATCCCTCGCCTCTTCCTCTGCAAAATTGATGACTGTATCGGCGCTGCCTCGTGCTTCCATGAAGAGCTTGAACTGTTCATCAACTTTACCAACAGCCTTCACCCCAACCTCAAATTGACTTGGACCATCTCCAATACCTTCCTCCCCTTCCTGGACCTCTACATCTCTATCTCCAGTCTCAGCATCGACATCTATTTCAAAACCCACTGACTCCCAGAGCTACCTTGACTACATCTCCTCTCACCCAACCTCCTATAAGAATGCGATCTCTTATTCCCAATTCTTACAGCTACCCCTACACCTTCAGTCTCACCTCTATCCAAGGCCCCAGACAAACTTTCCAAATCCGACAGGGATTCACCTGTACATCCAGGTGGGTCTACTGTATCCGTTGCTCCCAATGTGGTCTCCTCTACATCAGTGAGACCAAGCACAGACTCGGTGACTGAGCATTTGCACTTTGTACTCTATAATCAACAGCACCTTCTGGTTGCCAATCATTTTAACACCCCCTCCCACTCCCTGGGTGACATGTCGATCCTGGGCCTCCTCCAGTGTCACAGTGACACCACGCGCAAACTGGAGGAGCAACACCTCGTATTTTGCCTCGGGAGCCCACAGCCTGATGGCCTCAACGTAGAATTCACCATTTTCAAAATCTCCCCACCCCCGGCTTCATCTCGTGTCCAATCCTCCCTCTCATCCCCACCTCCTTGATCTGACACAACCTGTCCATCTTCTTTCCCACCTGTCCACCCCACCCTTCCAACTGAGCAATCCCCACTAACCCCTACCTACATCCACCTATCACCATCCCATCTACCTTCCCTTAGCCCCACCCCTCCTCCCTCTATTTAATTCTGAGCTCCTTTCCCCCTCCCCAGTCCTGATGAAGGTGTAAACCGGAAACATTGACTTTCCTGCACCTCTAATGCTGCCTGATCTGTTGTGTTCTTCACGCTGTATTGACTCTGAACCTGTACTAGCTTTCAACTGTTGAACCTTATCCATTATGCTTAGCTGGCTGGGTATTATCTCTTAACAGGAAGGTTGCTTTATGCCTTAGAATCAGAGCTGTTCCCTAGGGCTGACGTAGGGGCCCTCACTCAAGTTGTTACAATACATAGTATGGAGATCAGAACTGCTCATAGTATGTAAGCGTAGTCTAACCAAGGTTTTAAGGACGTTTAGCACAATTTTTCTGCATTTAATTTCCATTCCTCCAAAATTTAATCTAGAATTGGTACAACTTTCGCTTGATATTCATGCCAAATATTCACTATTTTCCTATGCCTTTTTTTACCCTTGCATGTGTTGTTGGGTTGCACTTGTCTCTGTGCCCTTTTGAAATCTCCCTGAATACTTTGAATGATTTTACTGATGCATTAAAGTAAAACTTGGTCATATTGAGCATATTCAGGTTAGCTGTTAGAATTAAAGCACCGACTTAAACAGTCAGCATAAGGCGATGGCCATGCCCCAATGGTATTATTGCTGGACTGTTAATCCAGAAACTCAGTTAATGTTCCAGAGAGCCGAGTTCACTTCTCCCCACAGCAGATGGTGGAATTTGAATTCAACAAAAAAAACATCAGAGGTTAAGAATTGACTCATGACCATGCAACCATTGTTGATTATCGAGAAAAACTCATCCAGCCAAGAAATCTGCTGTCCTCACCTGGTCTGGCCTACATGTGACTCCAGACCCACACCAGTATGGTTGATTCTCAACTGCCCTCTGAAATGGCCTAGCAAGCTACTCAGTTGTATCAATTGTCACAAAGTCTCAACAAAGAAATGAAACCACATGGATCACCTGGCATTAATCTAGGTGCTGGAAAAGACAATGGCTGAAACAGACCTGACAACCCTGCAAAGTCCTCCTGACTAACATCTGGGCCTAGTGCCAAATAGGCAAGCAACAGCCCTGACATAGTCATACTCACAGAATCATACCTTACAGTCAATGTCCCAGACACTGACATCACTATCCCTGTCCTGTACCACCAGTAGGACAGATCCAGCAGAGGTGGTGGCCAGACTGATATACAATCAGGAGGGAACTGCCCCAGAAATCTTCAGCATTGACTCTGGACTGCAAGAAGTCTTATAACTTCAGATTAAACATAGGCAACGAAAGCTCCTGCAGATAACCACACGCCAACCTTCCCCAGCTGATAAATCAGTACTCCTCCATGTTGAACAACGCCTGCAGGAAGCACTGAAGGATGCAAAATGTACTCTGGGTGGGAGATTTCAATATCCAACACCACGAGTGGCTGGGCAGCAGCATTACTGATCCAGCTGGTTGGGTCCTAAAGGACTGGGCTGCTAGATTAGATCTGCAGCAGGTGTTAAGGGAACCAACAAGAGGGAAAAACATACTTGATCTCATCCTTACTAATCTGCCAGTTGCAGATGCATCTGTCCATGACAGTATCGGTAAGAGTGACCACCGCACAGTCCTTGTGGAGTGGAAGTTCTGCTTTCTCGTTGTTAATACACTCCATTGTTTTGTGAAGCACTGTCACCATGTTAAATGGGACACAGTTCAAACAGATCCAGCAACTCAAGACTAGACATCTATGAGATGCTCTGGTCCATCAACAGCAGCAGAATTATACCCCAACACAATCTGCAATCTCATGGCCTGCCATATCCCCCTCTCAAACATTACCATCAAGCCAGGAGATCAACCTGGTTCAATGAAGATTGATAGAGAGCATTTCAGGAGCAGCCCAAACTTATCAAAAAAATGAGGTGTCAATCTGGTGAAACTACTAAACAGGCCTACTTGTATGCCAAACAGCACAAGCAGCACGTGATAGGCAGAGCTAACCAATTTTACAACCAACAGATCCGACCTAAGCTCTGCAGTTCGGTCACGTCCAGTCATGAATGGTGGTGGACAATTAAACAGTTCACTGGAGGAAGAGGCTCTACAAATATCCCCGCTCTCAATGATGGAAGAGCCCAACATATCAGTGCAGAAGATAAGGCTGAAGCATTCACAGCAATCTTCAGCCACAAGTGCCAAGTGGTTAATACATCTCGGCCTCCTGCAGTAGTCCCCAGCATCAACATACCAGTTTTCAGCCAACTCAGTTCACTCATATCAAACAATGGTTTGAGGTACTGGATGCTGCAAAGGATATGGGCCCTGACAACTTTCTGGCAATAGTACCGAAGGTTTGTGCTCCAGAACTTGCTGCTCCCTTTGCTAAGCTGTATCAGTACAGTTACAACACTGGCATCTACCCTACAATGTGGAAAATTGCCCAAGTATGTCCTGTACACACAAAAACAGGACAAATCCAACCTGGGCAATTATCACCCCATTAATCTATTTGTGATCAGAACTAAAGTGATCATCAGCAGTGCTATCAAGCAGCACCTGTTCATTGATGCCCAGGTTTGGGTTCCGCCAGGGCCACTCAGCTCCTGATCTCATTACAGGCTTAGTTAAAATATGGTCAAAAGAGCTGAGGTGAGGGTGACAGCCCTTGACATGAAGGCTACATTTGACCGAGTGTGGCATCAAAGAGCCTTAGCATCAGAGGTGGGTTAGGTTTTATTGGTAGAGGGATTGAGTTTCAGAGCCATGAGATCATTTTGCAGCTATACAAAACTCTGGTGTGGCCGCACTTGGAGTATTGCGTACAGTTCTGGTCGCCGCATTATAGGAAGGATGTGGAAGCATTGGAAAGGGTGCAGAGGAGATTTACCAGGATGTTGCCTGGTATGGAGGGAAGGTCTTATGAGGAAAGGCTGAGGGTCTTGAGGCTGTTTTCATTAGAGAGAAGAAGGTTAAGAGGTGACTTAATAGAGACATACAAGATGATCAGAGGATTAGATAGGGGGGACAGCGAGAGCCTTTTTCCTCGGTTGGTGATGGCTAGCACGAGGGGACATAGCTTTAAATTGAGGGGTGATAGATATAGGACAAATGTCAGAGGTACGTTCTTTACTCAGAGAGTAGTAAGGGTGTGGAATGCCCTGCCTGCAACAGTAGTAGATTCACCAACTTTAGGGCCATTTAAATGGTCATTGGATAAACATATGGATGATAATGGAATAGTGTAGGTTAAATGGGCTTCAGATTGGTTTCACAAGTCGGCGCAACATCGAGGGCTGAAGGGCCTGTACTGCGCTGTAATGTTCTATGTTCTATGTCCTATGAGGCAAAGTGTCTGCTGGCTGGAGTCATGCCTGGCACATAGGAAGGTGGTTGTGGCTGCTGAAGGTCAGTCGTATCAGCTCCAGGCCATCTCTGCTGGAGTTCCTCGGGGTAGTGGCCTTGGCACAACCATTTTCAGCTGCTTCGCAATGACCTTCCCTCCATCATAAGGTCAGAAGTGGGGATGTTCGCTGATGATTGCACAGTGTTCAGCACCATTCGCAACTCCTCAGATACTGAAGTAGCATATGTTCAAATGCAGCAAGATCTGGACAATATCCAGGCTTGAGCTGTCAAGTGGCAAGTAATACTTGCGCCACACAAAAGGCTAACCAATGACCATTTCCAATAAGAGACAATCTAACCACTGCCCCTTGACATTCAATGGTGTTACCATTGCTGAATCTTCCACTACCAACATCCTGGGGGGTTACCATTGACCAGAAACTCAACCAGACTCACCAGATAAGTATAGCAGCTACAAGAGCAGGTCAGAGGCTGTGGCAGGCTCTCCAAAGTCTGTCCACCATCTACAAGGCACAAGTCAGGAATGTGATGGAATATTGCCCACTTGCTTGGATGGGTGCAGTTCCAACAACACTCAAGAAGCTTGACGCCATCCAGGGCAAAGCAGCCCATTTGATTGGCACTGCATCCACAAGTACCCACTCCCTCCACCACTGACACTCAGTAGTAGCAGTGTGTACTATCCTACTTTTCTCGGTGCAGAAATACACCAAAGATTCTCAGTCAGCACCTTCCAAACCCATCGAGAACATAACAGTACCAGATACATAGGAACACAACTAGGCTGCAAGTTTCTCTCCAAGTCACTCATCATGCTGACACAAACATTTTCGCACTCCTTCAATGTCACTGGCTCAAAATCCTGGAATTCCCTCCTTAAGAGCATTGTGGATCAACCTACGTTATGTGGGTTGCAGCAATTCAAGAGGCAGCTCACCACCACCTTCTCAAAGGCAACTGGGGATGGGCAATAAATGCTGGCCTTCCATCAACATCCCATGATTGAAGAAAAAGAAAGTACTTTGGACTGGGAGAATCATTTCTGAAGAAGGGCTCAGACCCGAAACGTCAGCTTTGCTGCTCCTCTGATGCTGCTTGGCTTACTGTGTTCATGCAGTTCTACACCTTGTTATCTCTACTTTGGACTGGGGATATTATTGATGAATCCCTCAAAACTAGGTGAAAACAGAGCATGAAAGAGTTGACCAGAGTTCATGGGCAGATGCTTGCCCTTGGTTAATTAACTAATCATAAAGAATAATTATTATGTCAGTGTAATTTAATAGGTTGCTGATTATTAATTTATTTTGTGTTGATTGAAAATCATTTGTTTCTTTTATTATTTGGTCATATCCAGTAGTAACAATTCATAATTCTGATAATCCAATATTCTCTTCGTTGTTTCAGCTCTGCAGTCTGCTCAAAGATCCCCTCCAGAGAGACGAATCCATCGTACTACCACTTCATACACTGGTCCATTCACAGCCTCACAACTGACTGCGAGCAAAGAAAATCTCCCAGTTCTGAACACTCGAATCATCTGCCCAGGTACCTAGCATCATGACACAGCAGAGACGTTCCAGAAAGTGCAAAGGATACAGCAGTAAATTAATTGCTGAAGTGGTACCAGAACAGTTTCAGTTTTCATCCAGTGGGTGGATAATTGAGTCAGTCCCATGGTGCAGAAGCTGAGTGGTTAGGACCTTTCCTCTGCGCCAAGGTTAAAACTTGGATATTGGTTACTTTACATTGTTCCCATAATGGAGATGGTTGTTAATTTGCCTGTCAGTCATATCCAGACACCTGGTGCATTCATGCCAATTTATTTTAAAGAGCTGCACAAGAGGGTTGTTAACTTTTGTATCCTCTTCTTTGTTCTGTGCTACCATGAGTCAAGGTTCTATGTTAGGAGGTTTACCTGACAAAATTTAGTTGTATAGATTCATACTTGTTTATAGCCTAAATATATATTCATGTATTAATGCAGGTTTGCGAGCTGGACTTGCTGCCTCCATTGCTGGAAGCTCGATCATCAGCAAAATGTTACTTGCAAATATCGATCCTTTTGGAGCAACACCATTCATTGACCCTGACCCAGATTCACTGTAAGAAATGTTCTTCGTTATACAACAGTTCCTCGTTACTGCTTTTTCTTCAGTTACTCATTGAATTATTGTTGTCAAAATTGTCAGTTCTTTTTTAGAATGATATTGTTACTGCTGAATATGTTGGCACATTGGGAGAATGCAATATTTTCTTAATTATTTTGCTTTCTATTTGCAGGGAAGGTTATACTGAAAAGTGTGTGATGAACAATTATTTTGGAATTGGATTAGATGCAAAAATCTCTTTGGAATTTAACAACAAACGTGAGGAACATCCTGAGAAATGCAGGTATCTGCACAGCTTTCAATTTTTTTTTAGTGTTGGGATATCCAGTGAAGAGCAATGGCTTGTAATGCAGAACACTGCACTATATCACAGAACTATATTAGAAAAGCACACAATTGTGATCAGACACTGCCAGCATGAAGATTGCTGGGAAATGGAAGAACTTAGTGAGCCAAGAAGTTCCATAGGTTTGAGGTTCTGTTGAAGATCTTTGTTCTAAGCAAGAACACAAAGTGTGGAGATCTGTCCTTACTCAGGGGAAGTAGGGAGCTCAATATCATGAGCAATTAGACAGAAAAAAGGGTATAACAAGAAGGCTATGTACACACCATTCAGTTAGATCTACACAGCATTGAAACAGCTCTTGTAAAAGTCATAAATGGCATCCTATGTGAGTGGATAATGGTGAACTGATATTCCTCATTCTTCTCTGCATGTCATTGCCCCTGTCCCAACTCATCTGCTGCTAAAACTCTCATCCATGTCTTTGTGAGCTCTAGCCTTGAATATTCAAGCTTATGGCTGGTCTCCCAAAATCTGCCCTCTGTCAACTTGATGTCACCATAAACTCTGCTGCCCATATCTTAATTTGCAAGATGATTCATCCCTCTGTTCTTGCTAACAGACATTGGCTTTCAGTCAAGCAATGACTTGATTTTAAAATTTTGATCCTTGTTTTCACATCTCTTAGTGATCCTGCTCCTTCTTGTCTCTAATCTCATCCAAATGTTGCTATTAGAGGGTGACCTTGGCTTACTGTACAGAGACCCCCTGATTGAAGGTTATCTCCCTTTATTTGACTGACAATCACGATAAACTTCCTGACTTTACACTAAACAGCAAGGCAAGATGAAAGTAGTATGAGCATGATAGCTCTGGCTGAAGGCAAAGCAAGACAATACAAGCAAGTATCCAGGTAGGCTCAGACTAAGTGAGGACTATGACAGTGAAGGAAGAGCCCAGGGATGCAATCTAGTCTAGTCCATGAGCTGAGTGTGTGTCCCTGAGTGCACAGTGTCCTTGCTGCAGTATTACAATGATAATTGCTGGTGCAGCCTGAAGTGTAACATTGAAGTATAAATGGATTGGAGACGTGCAATAAGGGTACATAGAAGCTGGCACGTATCAGATGCCAATGTCCATGGATGTGGCGTGCATGTGGCTGCTGCACATGAAGGATGCCCTGGGATGTCGGTCCCTGGTGTCCAATTGTGGAGCTCTTTCAAAGCAAGTGGTGAGCTCAAGTAGATCAGATTTCCACATTGAGAATTCTCAGTGTTAAGCTTGTTGGTATGTTGGGAAAATGGGTAGCTGAATATTGATGAGTCAAGTTGCGCAGTTAATAAGTTGTTTAACAGCCAATAATCTCAAGTAATTGAAAACTCACTGCTGCCTGCCAAGAAACCCACCATGCAAATAAGATGCAGCGAGTTGTTCCTGACATTGAGATAGACCTCACTGGACTTCTCATGCAATTCTGCTCCAAGTCTTCCTACAGCCCCTGTCATTAAGGCCCTGATAAGATTTCACCCACCAATTATATTACAAGGTCAGGAGTGGTAATAAGAGAAGAAAATAATTGTATTTTGGCAGTAAGGTAAGGTAATGTAAGGCAGTAGTACTATATTTGTATAGCACCTTCTGGGGCCCAGAGTGCTGTAAAATCAGTCAAGTAATTTTCTGAAGAAGGGTCTAGGCCCGAAACGTCAGCCTTCCTGCTCCTCTGATGCTGCTTGGCCTGCTGTGTTCATCCAGCTCTACACCTTGTTATCCAAGTAATTATCATCCCTGTTGTGGTGTAGGAGAATAAGTAGAAAATGCCAACTTAAGGGTATTAAATAGGAATAGGAACCTTAGTGACTATTGATATCCATGTGAGGACAGGAGCTGAAAAAAAACAGATTGGAGTAATAATTTAAAGGAGAGTTTTCATAAGATGTGGGAGTTGGAGAGTTCGACTATGTTTCAAGAATCGAAGAGATGGTGTCAAGATGTTGTATGTTGAAAGTTATGCGTATCAAGAAACACACAGCAACTCAATCTTTTACTGAAGCTGTGGGCTTGGAGGATTTGTCAGTGTTGACATGGATGAATCGTAGCAGTTAAAGGCAAATGGAGCAAGGATGGAAGTCTGTTACCAAAATGATGCAAGGTAAAATGAGAGAGCAAAGTGGGGAAGAAATCGTTAGCTCCTCGGTTAAAGATTGTTGCAAAGGATCAGAAGAGAATCTAAATAAGTTACAAAGGACAGCCAAGGTTATGGACCAGGTTCTGATCCTGGTGCAATGAAGGCATCTCTAATAGTGAATTTGAGAACACACAGAGAAAAGAGGGGCTGAGAGAGTTCAAATTGATTGGGGCATCAGAGCAGATTGACTGAAGAAAGATGGAACACAGGAGCTGACCTTGAGAGCTGATGGATGTGAAACACTGCATTACCACTTGGCATTACATCAGATATTGCAGCTGCATGACAGGAGAGTGAAACTACAGCAGGACCAAGGCAAGGAGCAAGTAATTTCCCAAGATTGTCCTAAGGGCTCAGTGCTGGGACTTGAACTGTTTGCATAAATGACTTGGATGAAGGGATTGAAGGTATGTTTGTTAAATTTGCTGTTGAGACAAAGGTGGCGAGAAAAGTAAGTTGTGAAGAGGACATAAGAATAATGCAAAAGCATATAGATACGTTAAGGGAATGTGCAACAATCTGACAAAGGGAATATAAAGCAGGAAAATGTGAAGTTGTTCACTTTAACAGGAGCTCTGAAATGCAGAGGGATCTGGATTTCCAAGTGCATGAATCACTAAAGTCTAGTATGCAGCTACAGCAAGTATTCAGGAAAGCTAATACGATGTCACTTATTGTGAGGGGAATTAAAGAGAAAATTAGGTTCACTTATCCAGTGGTCTGTTGAGACTGAATCTGGAGTACTGTGTACAGTATTGGTCTTCTTATTAAATAGAACATAGAACATAGAACAGTACAGCACAGTAGAGGCCCTTCAGCCCACGATCTTGTGCCGAACTTTTACCTGAAACCTAAGGTCTATCTAACCTCCACCGCTACCTTATACTATCATCCATATGCCTATCTAATAGCCGCTTAAATGCCCCTAATGAGGCCGACTCCACTACCCTCTCCAGCAACGCATTCCACGCCCCTACCACTCTCTGAGTAAAGAACCTACCTCTGACGTCTCCCCGATATCTACCTCCTTTCACTTTAAAACTATGTCCCCTTGTAAAAGCTACCTCCACCCTAGGAAAAAGTCTCTGGCTGTCTACTCTATCTATACCTCTGATCATTTTGTACACCTCTATCAAGTCACCTCTCATCCTTCGTCGTTCTAAAGAGAAAAGCCCTGGCCCTCTCAACCTTTCCTCGTAAGACCTTCCCTCCATTCTAGGCAACATCCTGGTAAATCTCCTCTGCACCTTTTCCAACACTGCCACATCTTTCCTGTAATGAGGCGACCAGAACTGGACACAATACTCCAGATGTGGCTAAACCAGGGTTTTGTATAGATGGAGCATAACTTCACGGCTCTGGAATTCAATCCCTCTATTAATGAAAGCTAACACACCATATGCCTTCTTAACAACTCTATCCACTTGGGTGGCAGCTTTCAGGGAACTGTGAACATGAACCCCAAGATCCCTCTGCTCCTCCACACTGTCAAGAATCTTTTCATTAACCCTGTATTCTGCTTTCAAGTTTGTCCTTCCAAAATGAATCACCTCACACTTTTCAGGGTTAAACTCCATCTGCCACTTCTCCGCCCAGCTCTGCATTCTATCAATGTCCCTTTGTAACCTAGAACAGCCCTCCACACTGTTCACAACGTGATCCACCTTCGTATCGTCCGCGAACTTGCTAATCCACCCTTCCACTCCATCCAAATCATTCACAAAAATCACAAACAGAAGAGGACCCAGAACAGATCCTTGTGGTACACCACATGTAACTGAGCACCATGTTGAATATTTCCCGTCCACTACCACCCCTTGTCTTCTAAGGGTCAGCCAATTCTGAATCCAATCTGCCACATTTCCCCCTATCCCATGCCTCCTTACCTTCTGCATGAGCCTACCATGGGGAACCTTATCAAACGCCTTACTTAAATCCATGTATACCACATCCACTGCTCCACCTTCATCCATGTGTTTGGTCACCTCTTCAAAGAATTCAATAAGGTTTGTGAGGCTGATCTACCCCTCACAAATCCATGCTGATTATCACGAATCAAACTGTGCCTTTCCAAGTGATCATAAATCCTGTCTCTCAGAGCCCTTTTCAATAATTTGCCCACCACTGACGTAAGACTAACTGGTCTGTAATTTCCGGGGTTATCCCTGTTCCTTTTTTGAACAAGGGAATGACGTTTGCCTCTTTCCAATCTTCCGGCACTATACCCGTGGACAGTGAGGACGAAAAGAGCATCGCCAAAGGCCCTGCGATCTCATCCCCTGCTTCCCATAGAATCCTTGGATAAATCTCATCAGGCCTGGGGGACTTATCTATCTTCAACTTCCTCAGAATTCCTAGCACATCTTCTTTACTAACAGCAACCTCCTCTAGCCTACCTGCCTGTTTCACAACGTCCTCCTCTTCAACTAGGTCCCACTCAGTTGAGAATACTGAAGAAAAGTATTCATTAAGGACCTCTCCTATCTTTTTAGGCTCTGTGCACAAATTCCCTTTACAATCCTTGATCGGCCCTACCCTTTCTTTGGTCATTCTCTTGTTCTGCACATACGTGTAAAAAGTCTTGGAGTTTTCCTTGATCCTATCCGCCAAGGTTTTCTCATGCCCCCTTATAGCTCTCCTAAGCCCTTTCTTCAGCTCCTTCCTGGCTAACTTGTATCCCTCTAGAGCCTTTTCCGTTCCTCTTTTCCTAAACCTTACACAAGCCTCCTTCTTCCTCTTAACCAGCCGTTCGATCTCTCTCGAGAACCATGGCTCCCTCACTCGACCGCATCTTCTCTGCCTGCTGGGGACAAAC